TACTCAAAATCCATCAAAATCCATTTCGAACGAAAAATAAGTTTTTAAATTTGAAAATCCGATATTCAAGAGAGGTTTTCAGAAATCTTACCTCAAATCATTCTCTTGATGTTGAAAACTTCTTCAAAACCTTCTTTGGTTTGAAATCCGGTTGGTTTTGAAGCAAAAACGGGAGAGGGAGAGTGTGAGTTCGAAAAGAGAAAGAGAGAAAAAGAGAGAGTGCTTAGGAAGGAAAGGAAGAAAGGAAAAAGAAAAGGAAGGAAAAAGGAAAAAGAAAAAGGAAAAGAAAAGAAAAAGAAAAAGACAAGTGTCACAAAATATTTAAAAGACAGTCCAGAAATGCGCCCGCACACACTTCTGGGGTAAAAATGTAAATACTGAGAATGTTTAAATACCTTGGAATTATTTAAATTTCCTCGTCAGAAACATTTATTTAACAATAATTAATTTATTAAACCAGATTAAGCACACTAATAAATCTTAAATTCTTTAATTAATCCCATTTTATTCTTCGGAGTGTTACATAGTCATGCTCTAGAAACGTGACATTTTTTGACACAAATACCTTTTAATCATCCTGACTATAAAATAGTCCTCCTCTTGTCCCTTGTGGGTATCCCACGAAGATGCATACTTTTGTCCTCGGTTCCAACTTATCATCCTTTTGTCTCAGCATGCGTCCTGGACATCCCCATATGTGAATGTGTCTCAACTAGGTTTTTGACCATTCCACAACTCTAGAGGCGTCTTAGTTATAGACTTAAATGGTACCAAGTTAAAAATATACACTGCAGTTCTGAGGACATATCCCCATAATGATGTAGGCAGTGAGAAATAACTCAACATTGATCTTATCATGTCGACCAAAGTCTGATTTCTCCTTTTGGCAACACCATTCTACTGTGGTGTGGCAGGTGCTGTCAGTTGTGGTAACACACCTTCTCCAATCAAGTAATCCCTAAACTCTTAGTCCAAGTATTCACCCCTTGATCCGATCGAAGTGTCTTGATTGACCTACCTAATTGTTTTTCAACTTATGCTTGAAATTCTCTAAACTTTCTAAAATTTTCAAAGTTTTGTTGCATTAGGTAAACATAATCATATCTCGAATAATCGTCAATAAAAATGATGAAATATTCGTAAGCTCCTCTAGCTTGAACGTTTAATGGTCCACATAAATCTGAATGTATTAGCTAAAGAGGCTCTGTGGCTTTTTCTCCTTTCGCCGTGAAAGGCCTCTTGGTTATTTTACTTCCAGACAAGATTCACAGACCGGAAGCTCACCAACTTTTAGTTCACGTAAAGGACTATCCTTTACTAGTCTTTCAATCATGTTTAGGTTAATAAGACCAACTCTAAGATGTCACAGATATGTGTTATTATCGTGATAGATCCTTTGCTTCTTATTCTTAGGTTCGGCAACCTTGAACATTTTAGTGTTAAGCAGTGAGTTAGGTATTGGTTTTATACAATATAAACCATCATCCAAACATCCAGAACAAATATTAAATCCATTTCGAGAAATATGAACAAATTCGTTATCAAAATAGACTTTAAATAATTGTTCGAATAGCCTAGCTACATAAATCAAATTTCTACGAATGTCTAGATTAAAATAAACATTGTTTAAAACTAAAAATTTGTTTTTCCTAAACCGAAGTCTAACTTCTCCCACTACTTTTGCCGAAACTCTTGCACAATTACCCACTTTCATTGTGTATTCTGTTGAGAATGGTGTCCTAGAAGCATGAGATGTAATATGATATTTATTATTTATTTAATTAAAGAGTTTATTCTTTATTTTTTGTGCATATATTAATGAATATTTTATGAATATTAGTGCAAACTCCATGATTATTTATGTGACCTTAAATATTGTATATAAGTGTTATATGTGAGAGGATAATATTTAAGGATAATAATCAAAATGATGTTCGTAATGAATTTAATTAAAGTTCAGAATCTTTAATTAAAACATTATGAATACATGTCATTCCTGTTGGGAATGGTGTCCTAGAAGCATGAGATGTAATATGATATTTATTATTTATTTAATAAAATAGTTTGTTCATTATTTTTTGTACATATATTAATGAATATTTTATGAATATCAGTAAAAATTTCATGATTATTTATGTGACTTTAAATATTGTATATAAGTGTTATATGTGAGAGGATAATATTTAAGGATAATAACAAAAATGATGTTCATAAGGAATTTAATTAAAGTTCAGAATCTTTAATTAAAACATTACTAATACGTGTCATTCTCATTCAGAATGGAATGATATTATCCGCACTGTTAATATGACGAGATGTTGAATGAGTATATTATGCATAATGAGATTATGTGGAACAGGGACATAGACACAATATGAATTTCTGATAATTTCTTTTAAGTATAGAAATTCTAATTGAGTCTACCGATGGTCATATATAGAATGATTTTAATCTTGAGTTCTTAACAGACTCCTATTTATGGATTTCTATCTTTTGATTTACTCAATATGGATTCCGAGTTTCTGAATCCTATTTCTTGTATTTTGGAGACATGATGAAGTAGGTAGCCAAAAATGTTATTATACGAGATGGAATCTATTCCTTCTTGAAAAAGAAGTAGATAAATAATTCTCTTAAGGGTTGATTCGGTACTTGGAACGGTAAGAGCTCCGATTCATGTATTTATTTTATAAATCACTGTCCATTAGAGAATTAATGGTACTTAAGGATAAAGATGTAATTAGAGAGGTTAACGGATTTCACCTAGTTCTAATTATGAATTATTTATGGAGGATTGATTTATATGCAACGACTATATCAAATGGACACTTCAACATTTAAAAGTAATTTATGTCTATAATTACGATAGTGCAGTTCCAAGTTTATAGTGGAGTAACTATAGAATTAATATGATTAATTAATTAGTTAAAGTGTTTAATTAATTATTAATTTTATTAGAGCTTAAAATTATAAGTCCATGAGTCCCCGCATCATCCTTGTAATACAAGACACTAAGGGCAAAATTAGAATTTTAGAATTATGGAATTCTAAAATAAAACACTCAAGAATAATTAATTGATAATTAATTATAAATTAAATAATGTGATTATTTAAGTTTAAGTTTAAATTTGAATTTTGAAACACACATGTGAAGGCGTTCACATAGTGTGAACGCACAACACAGTGTGAATCTCTTTGGGATTCAAATTGTCTGCTCTCTATAGTTATCCAATTAACTTATTTGATAAATTGTTCAATTTGAAATTCAAATTGATTTAAGTTTAACTTAAATTGGAATTTGAATTTAAGATAAAAATTAGACTGCAGGATAAAGTTTTGCCCTAGTCTGTATCTGCAAAATTGCGCCTACCACAGGGAGGAAATCCCCTAGTGGTGCCCGGCCATATTGGATAAGGGAGAATGGATTTTGTTTCAAAATCAAATTTGAAGTGAGATATAATTAACAAGCTTTATCTTAGAGATAAAGATAAATCTCATTCTCGGAGTCTGACTACTACTCTATAAAATAAGAGATTGTAGAAAATTATGAGACACAATTTTTGCTCTCTCCTAGCTATAGTGGTCGAATTTTATAGAGTGAGGAAGGAAAAATTTTCTCTCAAATTTCACGTCGTGCATGTGTTGGTGTTCATGAAAAACTTGATGTTTTCTTGTAAATTGACGAGGAAGATTCGGGTGTTCTAAACTAGCATTGGAGCGATGAACGTTCGAGGTCAAAGAACACAAGTAATCATCCTAATTGGTTCCTAGGTAGAATTCCTAATCCAGTTCTTGGTAAATAAATTAATGTGATTAATTTATTCGTACATAAATTAATATAATCTATAGAGTATCTCAAAGGTTTTATGAAAATTTTTGTTATATTCAATCCGCTACTCACACGCTTCCGCATCCGAAATTGTTTCGGAATCCAACAATTGGTATTAGAGCGGTCTATATACTATATCAATTTATGCTTCGGTTATGCGATAATCAATATTTAATTGAATATGTGACATTTAATGGTATGTATGTGATGGGTAGACACTTGCATTTATTTATGGATGTTTACATTGATTCATATTGATGAATGTATGGATGATGGATTTAGTCGTTAATTATATGGTTATATGGATCGGTTAAAATTCGTTCAATAAATTATTTGTAATTTTATTCTGGTATTATAATTATTGTAATTCTAGTATTTAGGTAGATTAGGGTAAGGAATCACAAGTACAAGAAGCTCGGAAAAATCCGAAAGTGATGCCCTACCCGCACGCCCAGCGTGCCCTGCCCGCGCCCCCCGCTGCACTCCACACGCTCTCCGTGCGCGCCTAGACAACACGTTTTATTTATTAACATATTTAACTTTGATGATTTTTTTAAGTAATTATAATTGTCCCACTATATTAATAAATATTTTAAAATTATTACTCTTTCATAATAATCTCTAAAAATATATACTTTTATAAACATCTCATGTATTATACCTATTGTATCCGCGTACGAAAATACATATAAGTTAGTAAGAGTACGCGCTTTCACTAAACATATAGAAACTTAATAAGTGTAAATAGAATTACTCTCTGTTTTTTTTCTTTAAATTTAGAACTACATTTTAATAAAACTCTAAATTTTTACAATTAAAATTTTTTTTAAAAATGTCAAATTTAATTTTTTTATTACATTTAAAAACTCAGGTCTCGTTTATTTCGCTGATTCAAGTTTAGAATTTGAGTTTTATTACAGTAAAAAGCTCTAAGAAACAATCACATCTAATTTTTTTACTACAATAAAAATTTTTTATACAACATTACATCTCAACTCAACTTAAAAATTCAAATTAACGAACCGAACGCCTTAAAAAATTTCATATCCCAACTCAAACTAAGAACTTAAATCCGCGCGGAACGAGGCCTTAATTAAACAACCAAAAACAAAAACCCTAGTACTTTAACTTTATATATAGAACGCAGGCATCTCTCTCAAAGCCCCTCTCTCTCTCTCTCGGTGTCTAAACCTAAACCCTACTGGCATCTCTTTCTCTCTCCAGAAATTCCAGTTTGGCGAGGGTTTAAATTCGGATCATCCGCGATAATCGGGGTTTTTGGATAATACAGTGTCTTGATTTCGAGTTTTGATCGGCCATGGATCTTCCTAGCCTCGCTGTTGTTCTTCAGGCCGCTCTAAGCCCCAATCCCAGTGAACGGAAAGCCGCCGAGCAGAGCCTCAATCAGGTTCTTAGTTTTTCTCTCCGTCTGTTTTTGAATTGGAGATGTTGGTTATTATGGAAATTCGGATTGTTTTTTTTTTTCATTTTTTTTTTTCGGAATTAAGGTCTTGTTTATTGAATATTGTTGTTCGATTAGTTGGAACTTAATGCTTCTACCTTTTATTTTGAATGATAAATGTTTTGCGTCTTTTCACTATGTAGAATTGTAGATGCAGGAGTTTTTTTTGTTTTTTTGTTTTTGTTTGTGAATTTCGTTCTACTTGAAGTTTATGAATTGGCACAACATTGAATTCACACGTTTATAACGTTTGCACTTGACGATCGATTTTCAATGAGCTTAGTTTTGTAATTGTATTGATATTGATATTCTTATTTTGGGTTTGCAGTTTCAGTACACGCCACAGCATTTGGTGAGATTGTTGCAGATAATAGTAGATAATAATTGCGATTTGTCGGTAAGACAAGTGGCCAGTATTCATTTCAAGAATTTCATTGCGAAGAACTGGTCGCCGCATGAGCCAGGTACATTGTTATCATGTGGGGTGTTGGTAATTCCGTAATTTAGAGTTGTTTCAATTGCTTATCCTTTTTATATGGTGTAGATGAGCAGCAGAAGATTTTGGAGGAGGATAAAAACTTGGTGAGGCATCACATTCTCGAGTTTGTCGCGAAAGTTCCGCCATTGTTAAGGTGTAATTGTTCAACAAGTTCTATTTTTCCACTATTTCTTATGTTGTAGTCAATTTGTGTTTGTACCAACGCTTGGATTTGGGTTAAGGTGTGTGCGTGACATCCATAGATTCGTTACATCTTCATGTGTATATGTTAACTTTCATCTTTTTATGCGTCACTCACGTCAAGGTTTAAAATTGCGCAATTGGGTACTGAGGCGTTTTGTCTCTGTGAGGTGAAGCATAAGCCTCAAAATAAACCATAAAATAATTTAAAAATATGCAAAATCAAGCAATTTAAAGTAAAAGTTATAAATGATACTTAACATCATAAAAAATTATTAAATCTAAAAATAATTATTCTTGATTTTTCTTTTCTCCCTCTTATTTTTAGCAATATAGGGGTTTGTTTTAAATTTGCACCCTTGCCTCTTGGTCATAGCAACGTTATTCTTCTAGAATTCCTTACATTTTTGTTTTTTATTGGGCTGCTTTTGGCTGATATGAGTTTGGGCCTGGGCCTTTATAGTAATTTCAGCTCGAAACAGTGAAAAAAGTGAAGGCCACCGCCTTGAGGCGGCCTTGAAGCACCAATTCACTTACAGAGAGGCATACGCCTCATTCTTGCTTCGTGAGGTGAGCAAGAAAGAGGCGTACACCTCAATGCGTTTTTCCAGCGCCTCATGGAGAGGTGCGCTTCACATTGTGCAATTTTAATCACTGACTAATGTCAAAGGCATGTTGTGCAGAGTTCAACTGGGTGAGTGCTTGAAGACGATTATCCATGCTGATTACCCTGAGCAGTGGCCGCACCTTCTGGACTGGGTGAAGGTTAACTTATCACAAGACGACCCACAAGTTTATGCGGCTTTATTTGTATTGCGAATTCTTTCTAGAAAATATGAGTAAGTTGCTGATATTGCAGTACTCTTTGTAGAATCATAGATGTAGTAGTTTCATTAGCTTTCTATCTGGTACAGCTTTGGTATTGAATTTTATTGTTTCAGACAATAATGTAGAAAATTGATCATTTCTGTTGCAAAATATGGTGATTACTGTTTTAAAAGGTATAAGTCAATGATAAATACAATATGATTTATTTGTGTGATATATAACTTTGCTTCTATTATGGGCACTTTTTAGCAATAAGAGCAAGCATGTAGCAAGTATACTACTCCTCGTAAAATTACTTTGCTGTAGGTTCCATTACATTTCTGTTTGATACACGTTTACTAGATTGAAAAAATTGGGCCCTCCAAAGTATAAAGTAGTGCAAAGTGAAAAACATTTCTAGCCATTTTTGATTGCCGATGGTCTATATCATAACATTTCCTATTTGCGTTGAAGCTTTCTTCCTCTTTTCATGATATGGATTACTTAACTGAAATGCCATATTATTTAAGTTTTATTCCATTTCACGCGTTCGTAGGTTCAAATCCGATGAGGAAAGGGTACCAGTTCATCGTATTGTTGATGAAATATTTCCTAGTCTGCTCAATATATTCAACAAGCTTGTCCAGATTGCAAACCCACCGGTGGATGTGGCAGATTATATCAAGCTTATCTGTAAAATATTCTGGTCATCCATATATGTACGTCTTTGCATGAATGGGTTTTTTTTTGGTGCGTCAATTTTTATCTTATACGACAGTTTGACTCACTGGAGTTGAATTTGAAATGCTTACTTGTTAACTTGTTATTGCAAGCAAGAAGAAACACCTCTGCAATATCTTCCTCAAATTAGGGGTTTTTTTTTTCTTTTTTTTTTTTTTTGGGAAGATGGAACCTAGAGGGTCGTAAAGTAAGAGCATTTAATCTATGTACATAGAGTATACTTATTTACGAAGTTCAGTTTGTCTCTCTGTTATCAAGTATAGGGGCATATGTATTTGACTATTGTTGTTCTATGCCCTACAACAGGTATATGTTTTCTGTTACAATATTTTATACTGATATGTATTATGTAAACATGGAACACATATCGTAGATTAACTTCCGACTTCAAGAGATGTACCTAGTTTTCATTTTGGAGATGTAAATAGTCTTCATTTAAATTGCTCTTGAGCTACTCATAATATGTATAATTGTTTTTTTTCCCTCGTTTCTAGTTGGAGATTCCAAAGCAGCTATTTGATCCGAATGCATTCAATGCATGGATGGTTTTGTTCTTAAATATTTTGGAGAGACCTGTCCCTTTGGAAGGCCAGCCTGTAGACCCCGAGGTTAGAAAAACATGGGGATGGTGGAAAGTGAAGAAATGGACCGTTCACATTTTAAACAGGCTGTACACAAGGTAAGGACTTGGGTCTGATACAAATTGAAAATTAGGATGAGCCTTACAGGAGGCGGCTTATTTATGGTTTAGTCATCTTTACATAGAATTTCATATTCAGGTTTGGAGATTTGAAACTTCACAATCCAGAGAACAGAGCTTTTGCGCAAATGTTTCTGAGGACTTATGCTGGGCAGATTTTGGAGTGCCACTTAAATCTATTAAATGTAATTCGAGTTGGTGGTTTTTTACCCGACAGAGTTACCAACCTCATTCTTCAGTATTTAAGCAACAGGTGCTTTAAAATTATTCCTCTCAAAATTAAATCCTGTAAGCTGTAATACCAGGTTTGATTTCTGCGTGTAATTTGACTTAATGATACGTCTTTGAGGTACTGTAAGCTGTAATACCAGGTTTGATTTCTGATTCCAATGTTAAATTATATGGGGACAGACGATTTTTGTTTAGAAACAACTTTTAGAAAACAGGATGAGCTGCTAATAAATAAATGAGCGACCAAATCAAACCTTTAGCCTTTACAGTAGTACAACGCTTAGGCTTTGAGCGTCTTCAAAGCTCAACTCCAGTCAACTCAATGAACCCTCACTGGTGATTTGTTACATAGGTGATAGGATCCGGTAGAAGAACTATAAAGATTTCATGAAAAAAGTTTTTAATTCATTGAATAGTTCCAGACAGCAGTGTATGTTCCAGACAGCACTTCTGATATTATTTGGATTTGAGAATTGAAGTTGTTGTGGGTGGGTAAGAGTCCAGAAAATAAGTCGAGTTGAAAATGGACTTTAGGATCTCTATATCCAAGTGTTCAGCATGCATTATATAATCCCACTCCCCATTCTCCAACAAATGGGAAAAAAGAGAGGTTGTCTCTTAACATGCTTTGCTTACTGCTCTCATTTGTGAGACATTGTGTAATAGATTTTCCTGATGCTCTTATTCCATGTACACGCAGTATCTCGAAGAACAGTATGTACAATCTGCTGCAACCTCGACTTGATGTCATTCTCTTTGAGATAGTTTTTCCCCTTATGTGCTTTAATGATAGTGATCAAAAACTTTGGGATGAAGATCCTCATGAGTATGTGAGAAAGGGTTATGGTGAGTTCTAAGTTTTGTATATATTTTTGAAGAGAAATGCTTATAAAATCTTGAGTTAGCATAATTTTTTTGATACCCAGAATCCCATGAACCCACTTTGTCAGCCTGAGTTAGAAACTGGAGCCTTATCTTGAGTTAGCATAATTGATTTTATGTTTCTGCTTGTTTGCAGATATCATTGAAGACTTGTACAGTCCAAGGACAGCATCCATGGATTTTGTCAGTGAGTTGGTTAGGAAACGTGGAAGAGAAAACCTTCAAAGGTTTATCCAATTCATAGTTGAGATTTTTAGAAGGTATGTTTAACTTTTATGTTTGACTAAAGTTTGAAACATATTACAGTGTGCTGTAACAGTTTTGGTTTTTATATTATCAAGCAGGTATGACGAAGCGCCTGTAGAATTCAAGCCCTATCGACAAAAGGATGGTGCCCTTCTTGCTATTGGAGCTCTTTGTGACAAACTGAAACAAACTGAACCATACAAGTCTGAACTTGAGCGAATGTTGGTGCAACATGTTTTCCCTGAGTTTAATAGTCCGGTTGGCCATCTTAGGGCCAAGGTTTGTTTCTCCCAAGTTCCTTTTGAATCTCCAAGGCCACTATTTCATGAGTTGATTCTCAAAAAATAATTGTTACTTTAAAAAAAATTCCTTTTGTGGTCAATCATTTGTTAAGAATAATTAAGGTGCCTAACACAAAAAACTTAGGATGTTAGGTTTGGTTTTTTTAACTGCCTACTTTTCCTTTTCAAATTAATGAAATGATTATTCCATTTCTTGCAATATAATTGTCTTTGTCAGAAGCTATGCTTATTATTTTTAACTGCATTTGGATGTCAGGCTGCGTGGGTTGCCGGACAATATGCTCATATTAACTTCTCAGACCAGAACAACTTCCGTACGGCTTTGCATAGTGTTGTCTCTGGGATGCGGGATCCAGAGCTTCCTGTTCGTGTTGATTCAGTTTTTGCATTGCGTTCTTTTGTTGAGGCTTGCAGAGGCATGCACCTTCTATTTTTTGTTTGCCTATTTGTCTTCATTTTCCTTCTCATTACTTCACCTCCTCTTGTGCACCTTGGAACTTGATTGTTTTGTAAATATGCAGAGTTGGATGAAATTCGTCGAATTCTTCCTCAATTGCTTGATGGTATGTGGTTTACAAACTTCTTTTTTTTTTCTTTTTTTTTCTTCCCTTTTGAGCCATTATTAAGTGGTTTGGACTGAATATAAACATTACTTTTTGCAGAGTTTTTCAAACTTATGAATGAGATTGAGAATGAGGATTTGGTGTTTACTTTGGAGACTATAGTGGATAAATTTGGGGAGGAGATGGCACCTTATGCTCTTGGGTTGTGCCAAAATTTGGTACTATATACTTTAACCTGGTGGATACGCGTACTATAGAAAATTAAAATGTGCTTGCTTGAGGTTTTCTTTGATTTTTTTTTTTTAGGCAGCTGCATTTTGGAGGTGCATGAATACAGCTGAAGCTGATGATGAGGCTGATGATCCCGGGGCTTTAGCCGCAGTTGGTTGTTTACGTGCTATTAGCACAATTCTTGAAACAGTCAGCAGGCTTCCTCACCTTTTCCCTGAAGTTGAGCCAACTTTGCTTCCTATAATGCGTAGAATGTTGACAACTGATGGCCAAGGTTTTTCTTTTACTCGTCTTTGTTATTGTTTTGTGGACCTTGTTCTTGATCTAATAAACTTGATTTTGCTCCTGTTTGATCACTAATTAACATACATAACTAGAAGAACTAACTTATTTTCTGATGCGTGTTATTGTTGGATTGAGATAATAGTTAAGACTGGTTGATGAAGTTTATCTGCATTTGTCGTGCATAACGTGGAGGATAATTCATCCATATAACATCATACTTCTCAAGTTGGAAACTACTGGATTTAAATCAATGTTAAAAAAATTTCAGTCCAATCCTAAATCTATGGTTTACCTTGTCTTTGTCAAGAATTATTTCATTACCGTCAACGGAGGAAAACAAGGCTATTATATCCAACATGATACTTTAGGGTGTGTGAATCGTGGTATGTGACCAACCTTAATTCTTTGTCTAAAGAAAAATCACAGTAACAATGTCATTTTGATGCAAGTACTTTAAGATTTATAAAAATTCTTATTGAACCATGAACGTGAATCGTTAAAAGTTGACAGCATTCTAAAAGCCAAAGATGGAAGATAATAGGACAGGTGTAGGAGTAAAGAACCTAGAATACAACATCCTAAAAGCCAAAGATTATAGGACAGGTGTAGGAGTAAAACAAAATTGCGAATGGAAGATAAATTTAAAATTCTTGAAATTGAATAGCCACTCTGATCATGCTTTATGATTACTAATTTAAAGAAAAAAAGCAATGGCCTATTAGCTATTGCGGTTGATTAAACTTGGTCTGTAACTTGTAGGAAGATTGCATTGAGCCTTGATTTCTCTTGCTTTACTTTTTGTCCACGTGTTTTGATTTGACAGATTTATTGTCCTGTTAATTCATGACAGAGGTTTTTGAAGAAGTTTTGGAGATTGTGTCATACATGACATTTTTCTCTCCTTCAATATCTCTGGATATGTGGAGTCTTTGGCCATTGATGATGGAAGCATTAGCAGATTGGGCTATTGATTTCTTTCCAAGTATGTACTGCTTTTTATTTGTTTATTATATTCTTTTGTTTAAAGACATTTCTGTGGTTATTTCCTCTTTTTAGGATCACATTACTAAAACCTATTCACTTTTTAATGCATCTTAATTGAGCTAATTGATAACGTAGTCGCAGTGTTGGGTAGGAATTTTATTTTTCTGTCATACCAAGATTCAGGGCCCATTCTTTTCACAACCCAAACCTTTTTCTACAGTATTTTCTCACAAAAATTCAAAATCAACTTTTTTGCTAGAATATTCTCTCAACATAAATTACTTGTCAACTCAAGTTCTCGACTCGAACTCGCAAAAAGAACATGCCTTGAATCTACTTGTCTCTGGCCCCATCCTTCCCGCAATCTTAACATTTATCATAGTTTGTTGTCGATAAAAATACTTCAAAACTAAGAAATTAATTAATTAACCTATTAAAAGAGAAATGTTAAGTCCTTAATAAAAAAAAGTAAAAAAGATAACGTAGTGTTGGGTGCGAATTATATTTTTCTTTTTATGAATTTCTCCATTGTGACAATGCCCAACTGTTATATTCCTTCAGATATTTTGGTTCCTTTGGACAACTACATATCTAGGGGTACTGCACATTTCCTTGCTTGTAAAGAGCCGGACTACCAGCAAAGTCTTTGGAACATGATTTCAACTGTAAGTACCATATCGTCATCACTTTGCTGTCCCTGTGATTTGTTGATTCGCATCGATTATCATACCTTCAAATCCCTTCATACTTGGATAAATGCATGGAATTCATATTGGATGCTTAAAGGTTCTAGTGATAATCTGGTTAATGCATGTATTTGCAGATCATGGCAGATAAAAATATGGAAGACAGTGATATTGAGCCAGCTCCAAAACTCATTCAAGTTGTTTTTCAGAATTGTAGAGGGCAGGTTGATCAATGGGTTGAGCCATATCTTAGAATAGCAGTTGAGCGGTTGCGCCGTTCTGAGAAATCATATCTAAAATGTCTCCTAATGCAAGTGGTAATGTGCTATATCAACACATATCATTACTCGTATTCATGATTTTTTTTTTCCTTAGTAATTAAGTCTTGTGCTTTTTAGGGCCTCTCTCCCAGTCTCCAGCTAAAACCAAAAGGGAAAAAAAAAAAAAAAAGAAGTAAAAAGTGACTAGTATTTCATCATCATACATCAGTACTTATAGGATCATTTCATTCAAAGAATATCTTGTGAGTGATTTTATGAGGTACTACAAGTACAGCTGTATGTCTCTTTTTAACGTCTTAAAAAATTCTTAGCCACGCCACTTGTGCTAGACGATGGGAACTGCAAAATTTGTTTGAGAAGACATGTGCTTGTTTGGTTCAACAACTCATTGTGGAGATTTGAACCTTTTTTGTTAGAATTGTAGAATCTGAACTATAGTGATTCAAACTGTGATTTGAACTGTTGTTTGGATATGCAAATAAATTGTAATTTGAATTGGGAATAAAATCCGAACTGTGTTTAGATAAAGTGTTGAAAACTGTCATTAAAGTTTTGTAACAAATCTTTAAAACTTCTTTAAAAATGACATTAAAAAATATGCAATATGGGTGGGGATTTGTTCCTCTCTTTATTATAAACACATAATATCATCTCAATCGGAATTAAAACGAAGAAGTTATGACATTTTTAAGATTGAAATTGAAGAGAGAAAAAAATAGAATCTGGAACTATTGGACTGTTGGTAACAATTCGGATTGTTAAAATTTAGGGTGGGAGGTGAATTCTAAAATCAACAATTTGAGTTGTCCTTGAACCATTGTTAATGGTTTGAATTGTGCTTGAATTTTCCTTTCCCAAACACCAGCTTGAATCTTGAACTAAGGTTTGAATCTTAAACAACAGTTTGAGTTGTTGAAACAAACAGGGGCCATATTTGTTGTTCATGCTGTTAAACAATATAGCTATGCTCATAAATGTCAGTATTCTATTCTGGAGGTATTTGTAGTTGGTTTTCTTTTATTCTTTTACAATTGCTTGTCATATGCATTTGCAATTGTAAGATAATTCTTCTTATATTCCAGATTGCTGATGCTCTTTATTACAATGCGGCGTTGACACTCAGCATATTGCAATCGTTCGGCGTTGCAACAGAAATATTTGGCCTTTGGTTGCAGATGCTTCAACAAGTTAAAAAGAGTGGTGTGCGAGCTAACTTCAGGAGGTAGTTGTCAATTTTGTTTGGTTTAAGTATCCCCAACCTCCACCGATCTAATGTCCTCGTTAATGGCATAATATTTTTATATAACTAATTGTCATGTTGCAGAGAACATGACAAGAAAGTATGCTGCTTGGGATTGACATCTTTACTGGCACTTCCAGCCGATCAGTTATCAGGGGATGCCTTGGAGCGTGTTTTCAAGGCGACCCTTGATCTCCTAGTTGCATACAAGGAGCAAGTTGCAGGTATTTCTCTGTTTCTTTCTGTTATATTCATACATATATTCACTCCGGGTAAGTTATCTTATGAGCTTAGGGCGTCTTAGGTTGCTTAACTTCCGTTTTGTTTGCTTTTGATTTGGGTTTTCTTTATTTTGAATAGAGTTTGTTTTTTTCTTTTACTTTGTAAGAACTTTTTCCTTCTCTCTTTAATAACATTTTCTGCTTATTAAAATAGAATCCTGGTAAATATCATTTCATTGTACTGGATGGCAGAAGCTGCAAAGGAAGAAGAAGCTGAGGATGATGATGATATGGATGGTTTTCAAACTGATGATGATGATGAAGATGGTGATGGATCTGACAGGGAAATGGGAGTTGATGCTGAGGATGGGGATGAAGCTGATAGCATTAGATTTCAAAGATTAGCTGCACAGGTGTGTGATTCTAGCTTGAGGTTGATGATGATGATTGGTTTTTAGGATCGGTTGCTCTATAAATAGATTGTGTGCAAAACTAATTTCAGTTTCTCCCTTATTTTAAAAAGTACCATTCCATCAAAAATGAAAAAAGTATGATGCAGATGATGTATTCTTAATAAATCAAAGAAAGAAGCTACAGAGAACCCCAATAACCTTATCACTTATTGTGATCTGATAGTTGGTGTTACAGGCGAAGTCTTTCCGACCAACTGATGACGATGATGAAGACTCAGGTGATGATTACAGTGACGATGAGGAGTTGCAATCTCCACTTGATGATGTGGACCCTTTCATTTTCTTTACAGATGCGGTCAATTGTAAGTGAAAAGGGATATCTTCTTTTTGATAGATTGAAACAAATTCTTTTTTCTTAGTTCTTAATTCTAACATGTGCCTTTCCCCTTCTTTCTCTTGGTTGACTTTCCGTGCCCTGTGCCAAAAGCCATGCAAACATCAAATCCGTTGAGGTTCCAGAACCTTATGCAAACACTCGACTTCCACTATCATGCTCTTGCAGAAGGCATTTCTGAGCATGCCAAACAGAAGATAGCAGAAAGAGAGAATGGCACAACTGCCGGAGCTTCATAATTCATGCACCGTGTGTTACGGCGTGGCTAAAATTTTGCTTGCTGTTAGGCTTTTGTTTATTATTCCATTCGTGTTGTAATGGTTTAGAGAAACAGAGTCATTACCTGTCCATTCAGAGATTTGGTTTGTCTGATGGTCATGGTTTCCAGTAAGGCCAGAGGAATTTTAACATTTCAAGGGATTTCGCGTTGTGTGATTGAGTTCCCGGAAAGGTGTGAAATTCGAGATCGTGAAATGCCAGGTGGCACCTCCTCTTGGACTCGAGCTTCGGCATGGTTGTTGTCTAGTGAGCCGGCTGTTCTACAGCAGTGCATGCCCGTCTCACCCAGTTTGTGTTATCCCCTTTTTCTCCTTCCCTTAATAGTTGCGAGGTTGGACCATTTCTTTTGGTTGAGAGTTCTTTCTACACAGTGCACAGGGTATATTTTATTTCAAGAACACTAGAATCCGTTTTCGTTGTCCAGTAGTATGCTTCTTTCCTTGGTCTGTTATTTATTGCCCATTATACGAGGGTATCATCTAGGGTGGCTGATGGATGTATTTATTAATTTTGGGTCTGAGGGTAGCCTATAAATTTTTATCTTTTCATTTTTTAGGTTAGTCTTTTGATATCTGTAATATTTGTTTATTTGAGTTGGGAGTTTTGGCTTCAAAGCAGAAGGCTTCTAAGGGTAGCTTGCTGCTATTGTAAAACAGTTCATGCTTATTCATTATATTCTATATTGTGGATTTATTGGGGAAACTTTGATTTCTTAAGTTATTTTATTAGGTGTACGTAACGAGCAAGTTTTCTGAGTTTGGTGCATTGGGGGCTGAATTGATTGTTCATTCTTCTGTTGGGACCTGTGACGTATTAAGAGAGAGAGAGAGAGAGAGAAAATGGACCTTTATGAGAGGTAGTGTAAAACTACGAAGGAGATATAAAAGAGAATAGGAGACGTTTAGTTCATGGATTAGAATCATGTGATTAGAATTATTTTTTATTTACGTGTATTTTTTATGAGAGAAAATACTGTAGCGAATTACGAATCATGATTTGAATCAGGGGACGAATTCTTCAACCAAACAACCACTTAACATAGGATTAAGGCATGGTGGATTAAGTAGAAGAATATTATGAGAGTTTTATGTGATGACAATATGCCTATTAAATTGAAATGAAAGTTTTATAAAACTACAATCTGTTTAATTTATATGGTAGTGAATGTTGGGCCATTAAGAGAATATATATGTAAGATGAGTGACAGAAATGCGTATGTTAAGATGGATGAGTAGGCATATGAGAATGAATCGCATAAAGAATAAAGTTATTCCTAGTGAAGTAGGTATAACACCAATAGAAGATTAGGTGCGAGAAAGCCGGTTGAAGTGGTATAAGTATATCTAACGTAGACCGCTACAAGCACCAGTTCGTACTTGGGAGGACATTTTTATACCTAATATTAGGAGAGGGAATGGTAGATTAAGAATTACGTGGACCGAAGTAGTTAGAAAAGACATTCTAGATCTAGGTTTTCATGAAAGTCTAATTTCAAACAGAGCTACGTGAAAAAGTGAAATTTATATAGCTGATTCTAATTCGTTAGGATTAAGGTTTGCTATTGTTGTTTTATTTCTTAAAATATTTTTGAAGTGGAACCCTCAATGTGTGCGTGCAAGGATACTTTTTGGTTAAAAGTTTACTTGACTATTCAAGCATCGCTCATTTCACCGATTCGAATTTCAGTTTTAAGTTTCTATAGTAAAAAACTCTCAGAAAATGTCACATCTAACTTTTTCTGCTACAGTAAAAAGCTCTCATAAAATGTCACATCTCAACTCAAATTGAAAACTTGAATCCGCGAAGTGAACGAGGCCTTAATAATTTGCTGGGTTTTCCATAAAACGATAATAAATAATAAGCTGGGTTTTTCAAGAATTCTAGAATAAAAGCATGTCCTTGCGGACGTGTGTAGAAATTAGTTTTAGAGCCCGTTTGACACTATTTTTAAAGGTTGTTTTTAGCTTTTTTTAAAAGTTATAGTAAGTTAGAGTGTTTAATAAATTTTATTTTTTTTAGTAACTTTTAAAAACTGTTGTCAAATAGCATAATTTGAGAAGTAGTTCACTTTTACACAGTAGCTTCTACAGCCATTGTTCAAATTTATGAGGATAACCTTAACAATAAAACTTAATTTTTAATCTACTTATTTTACTTTTTTTCATATCAAATCAAATTAAAAAACATATGATTTTAAAATAATTATGTACAATTGAAAATCTTTAATAAGTATATTATGCTAAATTGTATTCAAATATTTTTAATAATTATCAAAATGTTCAAGATAATAACAATTAATAAGAAATTTAGTAGATGAATAATTTTTCTCAATCAATAAAAATAATTTATTTTTAATTTTTTTTATATTTTGAATATTGACCATAAAAACAGAAATAATTTATTTATATTTTGAATAATTTATTTTTTAAATTTTTTTCATCATAATACATCTCTACAAGAATTTTATACACAATTTACTAAATACTTAAATCTTTACTTCTATTATTCACAACAATTTTGTAAAAATATTTACCAAACATATGTTTCTGGTCACAACTTATTACTAACAGCATAGCAACAGTAAAAACTTTCAACAGTACAACAATGTCAAACCTGCCTTTAGTAATTTAACTAACTTTAAATACGCTTGTTATTCCTCTAAAAAAAATAAATATGTTTGTCATTAATTTTTGCTCCAGTAAAAAAATTATTAATAAATGTTGATTTTCTTTTCTCTTGACGAGACAAAAGCAAAATTTAACTTAATCTTCTAGTTTGCCGCAGACTCTGCTCGTAGAGTCGATTCCTACTCTCAAAGCGAAATCTGTTCTTTCAAAGGCAAAGTGCACACGCATATCAAGAGTGGAATTTCCTAGTGATATGCTTCTCAAAAGCAAGAGAAGAGAGACTGCGTTGTTGATGATTGTTGCAATAAATCTGACTATGCAAGCAAGTGCACAAGTCGTACAAGTAATAAAGTGGTCCGAAGACCGATATCGTCTCACGAGGATTGACGTTAAAAATGTAAACTAACTATTGTGAATATCATATCTTAACTTTATCTAAGCGATAAAATTTGGATGTGATAAACTCAAAGAAAAACTAAAATAAAGGAAAACTAAATCAAAAGGAAAGATGACTGTAATGAATAACATGCGCATAAATTAAAACGGAAAATCAATATAATGACAATGCTAGGGTCTTGACTTCACTCTATTGCAATTATGTTTCTCCGTAGTAATGTGCCTAACCTAACTCAACGTTCTCAAGAACCTAGAGTGATGTGTATCCTTATACCCTCTCTCGAGTGCCGCATAAAGAATGTGTAGGTGATATCAAGCCTATATCTCTCTACAACTATTCACCCCTACCTTCATTAAGTTTCACTCTAGAAACAATTCCTGGAATTCCACTTATCAATTTCACAACCTAAAATTGTTTCTGCTACCTAGGCAATGTTTATCTCTCGACCTCACACCAACCTAAGTTGTTCTACCCGTTTCTTGATTGCTTGAACGTTCCCCTCTCGAGTATTAATCCTCACAATCTAAATTTGCCCAATTTAAAATCTCACAAAGTATAGCAAAATGTAAATCATAGATTTGGCAGCAACAATTCAAAATAGAACACAAAAGAAACGAAAAGCTTTAATTAAATGCACATTAAAACGTCGAAACAAAAATCACAAATAGAGATTAATCTAAACCCTAACAAATAAGAAAATTAGCCACACATCATGTGGTTCACAATCTCAAAATAATATTCAAAATCTAAAAAAATACAAGAAGAAAGAGAAAAAGAGAACGAAGAATGCTGGGAATTCTTAAAGAATCGCTCTAATTTCCCTCTGGAATCCTCTCTAATTCAGATTTTCTTCCTTTGCAATTTTTGTTTTTGTTTTTCTCCTCTCCCTTCAGTTTTCAGCACCTCTTCCTTATATTCCACGTCCAGCATGTCCCCAAGAAGCCAATTCTAACTTTCCATAAAAATCTGCGCACCAGACTAGGGCAAACCCGTGTTTCTAATAAAATTGGGTAACTCAGGCAACATCCCCTAGAATAGGTGACATATCACCTAAAGGCAGCGACATATCTCCATAAATGAGGCGACATATCGCATCACTCGCTGGTCCTTCGTACATGTTTGCTCAATTTTGCTCCTTTTCGCACCGTGTCACCATCTGTAGGTGCCGTATCGTCTCGTTCTCTGTCTTTTTTATCCAAAATGCCTCAAAACTCAGCAATTTCACCCATTCCTGCACACTCAAGGGAGAATCATCAAATCCACATAAAAACTTGAGGAAAAACACGCCGAAACTAGCTAAAGGAGTAACGAATGAGTGCATAAATTACGCACTCATCACACCTTCAAACTTGAACGGCTGCTTGTCCTTAAGCAAAAAAACCTAATATAAAACAAAACACAAAATGGGAAATGGACAAAAGAACACAAAACGAAAGTTGGCGAGGGTCGAGAAGGCCTTCTCGTTTTTGTCCGAGATCCGCCACATTGATACGCTCCTTACCACGCCCAACCTTCGAGCCGCTAGGTTGATTCTTGATCTCCCAGTCCCTTCGGACCTAGACGCCGTTCGCGCATACTTCCATTTAAGTGACGAAGGTAACTTCTGCTTTTGATGCCTTTATTTATTACGACTTTCGTTTTCTAAACGCTGACTATATCTTTGTCTCGTCATTTCTGTAGAGATGGCATCTTTGAGAATCCAACTTCCTGGTAGCCAGCAATCCGGGCTGAGCCAGCAGCCGCCGTCGAATCAACAACCCCCGATGAGCCAACAGTGCCCGTCGAAGGGAAAGGAGAAAGCTAGCTCTTCTTCCCACGTGCCAAGGAGCAAGAAGACCAAAGGCCCTTCGGGGTCGGGGATAGATCCTTCGTGGAAAAAGAAGCACAGAGAGAAGACGCCAGTGGCCGAGACGTGGACACCGACGGTCCCCATCCCTGAGGTTAACGTTCCTTCGGCGCCGAGGGAACGCGTACTTATTCCCGGGGGAAAAATCATGGACGGAAATTTCCAAGTCTCGGACATCTCTGACGCCGAGATCGGGGCAATGCTGAAACTTCCCCCTCGCTTCTCCCTCGTCTTTCAGGCTCTCTATGAGTCTTTTCTCGAGCCACACTGGGTCGCTGCTGCTCAATCTTCCTTGGTCGACCGTCAGCGCAAACAGATCTCTTTCCAAATCCACGTAAGATTTTGTCGAGAGTTTTTTTTTTATTTTTTTTATTTTTACTCATCGTTCTGTATTTCTGTTTTTCTGACCTTCAACTTTTCAGAGCCTAGTCCTTTCTATCCTTAACCTCCTTAACCTAGTTAAGGTTGAGGAGCGTAATAAGGAGATGGACAATGTAGAAGCCAAGCTCAACTCCCTCGTCGACGACGCCAAAAAAAAGTTATCGGATGCCGTCGAGGAGAAAGACGTGGCCGTGGCCAAGCTGGCGAGTCTGGAAGGCGAACTGGCCAAGTTGACTGCTAAGGTCGAAGATCTTACGAAGCGGGCAGACTTGTCCGATAAAAAGTTGTCCGAAGCAGCCGAGGTAGCAAAGAAGCGTTTCGCTGAGGGGAAGGCCGAGGGGAAGAAGGAAGCCGAAGCTGAGGCTATAGCTACCTTCGACGCCAGGCGCACTGAGATTATTGAGGAGTTCAAGGCTTCTCTGGAGCTCACCGACATCCGCAACAAGGATTT